GACCCTGGTCATCGGAGCAGATACGCTCTGCTTGGCCAGGCAAAGCCCAGGCAGCTACCAGCTTTCCCAGCTTGGTGGTGAGGGCCACCTTGCTGCTGTCCTTGTCCCTGTGACATGGGAGAGGCTCTCCCTTGCCACAGCCATGTCACGGAAAGGCTGGACCAAGCCAGAGGGGACTTCATGTGATGACCTTGTTAGTGGTTGAAGTAGTGTGCAGAGATTAACTTCATGAGGTTTCTGGATGGGGAAGACGCCAGCACAAGGGATTTGTGTGCCTGGAGATAATGGTGCTTGCTGAACCCTCACCTCACTTGGCACCAAGAACTCCAGTAGAAGCCACGTGTTTCCTTTTAGATTTATGAGAGCTGCAGTAGTGGCTCCATCTGGAAGTAATCTACACTTAGATGGGTCTCCTGCTTATTTAGCTATCTCCTTCATGCCCTAAATACCAACGCTGCTGGGCCTGACACCGGGACATGAGCACCATTCTTCTGAAAATCCCGTTTCCTCAGAACATGAACCGAATTAAAGGTTTGCCTCTCTCCTTCACCTTTACTCTGGTAAGGATGTAACTATAATATTCACTAGTTGATTAATTTATTAACTTATCTGAATACATCTGAGGAGTAGAATATTATATAGCCTCACTGATAATACATCGATGATTTCTGACTTAAGAGACTGGACACAAAGAACGGACATTAAGGAGAACTGCCAATCCCAAGCTTGCAAAAAACAGGGAAAAGTGTCTCCAAAATAGGTATTAGTTGGGTAGTAAGGTGTTAGTAGTAAAGAAGTAAATCAGTTCCAGCGCTGGAGTAAGCTCATGTTACAAAGACAATCTCTGTAATCATGAGAATAAAAAAGGCTTCTTCTATTTAGGTGAAAGCCACAATTTTTATAGTCAACTGACTTTAAGGAAACTCACAAAGTGGCATCAAAGCTGACTCAGCTCAGGCACATGAGCCACTCTGCTGAATCCCACTGCTTTCAGCAGCCCAGGTGCACACTTGCTTTCCTAGACAGAGAGATGTCTTCTTGAGGGAAGGCCAACGCCCTTGAAGAACACAACTTTCTTCAAGGTCTGCTTGGCAGGGACTCCTGGGCACCTTCCCCCTGGAGTGTTGACACAGCCTTGTCTTGGGCATTCCAGCTGCCTGTGCAGGCCAAGAGCCAGGTATTGAGGACACAATCCAAAGGTTCCCATGCAGAACAGAAAGATACCTACAACCATCACGGCCAGTATGCAGAAACCTGAAGCCATGGTCCCCATGTGACACCTCATTTAGTGGTGCAGGAAGCGCCTCTGCTCAGCCAAACTATTTTTGAATGGTGGTCCGTATTTTCTTTGCCTTCAAGAGCTAAGCAGAGTTTGCTCTTTCCTTCAAATCATGCCCAAGGGTAGGAAGTGGTAGATCAGTTGCCTACAGCACCTTGATTGCTAGAACATTTTCCCAGGTCCTAGGAGCACCCTAACCATATCTCAGGGCTTAGCTGGGAAAACGCCAGGTCACCAAGGGATAAACTCCACAAAAAGCTGTTCAGCCCTGTCAGACCTGGAGGACTGTTGGATACGTGGAAAGATCTTCTGACCCTGTAACTTCTCCCTAACATCCTCTCGAGTCATGTCTTGCACTGGAACTACCAGCTCTGTAACCCCAGGGTCACGCTCTAGCATGGAGATAAAAAAAACTGCACCAGTGCCACTGATTTGGTAGATATTTCTGCAATGAACTCCTGCCCATGGCCCAAGTTTAGGAACATGAACCCTGCATTGGACGTAGTCTAAACCTGTGCTTTTGCTGAACAGGAGCCTACAAATGAAAAGGAATTTAATAATCACCTTGATATGGTAGATTTATATGAAAATATATTTGCTGCCATTTTGTGGGTATTTTTATATGTATCATTTCAGTTCAGATTTCTTAATCAACAGCAACTGGTAAGAAAAAATTAAACTGTTCATATTTTGGCCCTCAATGTGGCCACTGCACCAACCAAAAGCAGGCTCTGACACTGTAATGATGTCTCACAACAATGTCCTTTGTATTTACTCTGTGTGGTTACATCTGCTGAACGTCTGACCTTTGCGTGGATCATCCTGATCCACCTGATCCACGGTGAGACATGGGTATACAGAAAATTTCTGTCATCCAAAGGCCTTCTGCCACCTGCCATACAAGCACTGAAAATGAGATGCTAGCTACAAGGAAGCCAAGAGAAGGGAAAAGATTTTTTAATGTGATTTGTGTAAAGCCTCGCCAAACCCGAATGCGCTTATGTGCCGAGTTCTTCCCTTTGACAAACTTCCCCTCGGAAAAGATAAGCCCTTGAAAGACAATTAGCTGGAGCTAATTAACAGCTGCTTGAAAAGTAATCCAGGTTAAAATTTCTGCCAAGTAGCTTTTTCTCCCAGAGGAATTTTATCTTGAGAGATATAGAAACAGTAACTCTCAAGCGACAAAACTTTCTGCAGCAGCTTCCAATGCATCTCGCTTTACTCTCAAAGTAACTTTGCCATTTTTCCCTCTTCTATTCATCTTTTTGCAGGCACGCACTTGCTTTCAAGGAGTCAAGCAAACTTGAATATGGTATTTGACTAATAAATGCCATATCTTTCAAAAGAGCATTCCTTTTTTTTAATGTTTCTCCAGGCAGACAGCACCGATCCCTTCCGCTTTTTCAAAGTCAAAATGTCAAAATGCAAAGGGCAATAATGTCACTGTCACCTACAGTCTCGAGTGACAAGACTCAAGCACAGGCCTCTGACTTTTAAGATAGAAAAGTTGCCATCAAAATTAATCAATTCCTCCTTTTGGGGAACAATTGCTCCATCACCAAGAATCCTTCGCTTTGCCCTTCCGTTGGGATGTAGTACTTGGCATTATAAGAAAAGAAGAGGAATAAAGAAGATAAAAGCTCAAAAACATTAAGGTCAACATTGGCCCGTTGGTTCCCAAAATGAAGAGTTTATCCAAAACAGGTCCAAACTGCACAAGGGATCCTGAAACCCCACCCGTAAAACTCACAAAAAGATCCCCCAAAAGTCTCCAATACAATCTGCACACACAAACATTGCCTGTGATAACAAATTACTACGTGATACTCTATTAGTAATACAGCTTAAAATTGTAGATGTGAAAAGACAGACTACGAAATGGGGAATGGCAAGTCCTACTTGCAAATTTTGCTTGGGTTGTGGCGTAACCATATAAAAGCTTCTGTGATAATCACATCATGTTATTACTAAAACCAAAAATCCCCAGTTTCATTACAAATGTTTTCTCCCTTTTTTTTTCAGATGGAAATCAATAGAATCCAAATAGCAACACTACCAAAAAAAAAATTCTAAAATAATAATAGCACATGCCTGGGATAGTTCGGACCACCTCTCTGAAGCTGCTTAAGTTAATTTACCAGCACTTTGTAAAACACTTTGCATAAGCTGCTACTGGCATTAAAATGCCATGTTTTCAGCTGGTACTAATAGCTAATATATATAATAATACATATTGATCTATAATATCTAATAGCTAGTTATCTGCTGCTCTAGCACTGTGTCCATTTGACTTCGCATTCTGTGCCCCAACCACCTATTTTCTGGGATGGTAAAAGAGGCTGATAGCCTCCTGCCTTCATAATTAAATGAACAAGAATTTTAGGGAACTTAAGCATTTGAAGAAGAAAGCTTACAGGCTTGATTTGGGGCAGGGAAATATTATTCTAAACAAAAATGCAACTGTGGGGTGCCTTCTAGTACTTTAAAATAAATCAAACGTGACGAAAAATGTATTTCAAATATCACTCAAAGATGATAAAAAAGAAAATACTATCTTAAATTTGTGGGTACTTTGCAATATTAGCCGGTCTGGTCCAAGAAACTAAGTTTCTTCGGACACATTTTTACTTTCTGAAAGAAACAAAAAGTTATTTTTAATCAACTAATTAGGTCTTCTCTTCTTCTGTCCACAGAAGTGCCAAATTCCTTTGTTACAAACTATTTCAAACCCCTCTGGTTTAATGAGAAGTTACTATGTATAACTTAAGAGCAATCTTAAATTTAGACGGCTGCAGACCACTGATTAACAGTCACACCGAGCATTTGACTTTGAGAAAACACCTAAACCCTTCTGTAATGTGGTAATAATAATAATAATAATAATAAAAAAAAAACAAACCAGAAGAAAAGTAAAATAATTTTGTACAGAGCAACTTCAGTTTTCTTTTAAACTACTTTTGCCTTTGAATCATCTTGGCTTATATTCCATATCCCTCTAATCACAACACGTTCCTCTTCAAAAGCTTTATTGCTGGTATAGCATCAAAGTACAGGCATAACAAAGTTTTCCTATTAAAAACAAATTGTAGATCAAGAATGAATGAAGAGTGAGTTTTTTCTGGAAATATTTTAAAATACACTACAGTTCACTTCTGAAAGGAATGAATATTTATAGTAGGACTTCAGATGAATATATTGCTTCACATCAAAGTAGCTTTAGTATTAATTCAAAAATGACAAACTCGTTTTCCCATTCTTTGTCTCAGAACACATTTTGACTTTGCGAAAATGTCTGACCGAGTTCTCTAAAGAAACAAATCGTATTCAACAACAACTTCCCTCATTACCCGAGCTTTCCAGGATCTGTAATTTCTCAGCTTAAAATATTTCAAAAGAATTATTTTTCGATAAATTTTGAAGATACAGTACTTCTGTGGACTCAAATATTGTGATTAAGACGGACCTTGGGCCCACTCATCTCTGGGCACTGACCTGAGGAGACCTATCTCCCTCTGGTCCTCCCATATTCACCGAGAGAGCCAGGGAGACAGAAGGAGGCTCATCCAGAGGAAAATTCAGAGTAAGTACCTAATTCACTACTTTTTAAGCTGTTTTATACTATTGTGTCTAGAAAAAACAGGGTTTTTTTTAATTACAATGATGTACCATCAACAAAAACGAGGTTAAGATTTTACGCTGAACACAACAAGCAGACACTTACTTTGCTTTTGCTTCTGCATCTTCGTAGGCTTTATTGGAAACGTCATCTAGGCCGCCAATCAGATGTTTGAAGGAGCTGTAAAAACAAAGGGGCATTTTCAGAGGAAGAGTCTCCATTTGGGAGCCAAGCAAGCCAACACGGTTCTTCAGCAGCAACCAGGTGCCATCCCTCAATGCCGGGGATGGCCGTGACCGACCAAACCTGGGCCAGGGCTGGGCATCTGCTGGGAAACGTGGCCTCAGACATGGTGGAAAGGGGTGGAAATGCAATAACCAATGCCAAGAGATCCAAACTTATTTATCCACCTTTTTTAGGGACTGAACCCCCTGCAATTACTACTAAGATTCCCCTCCCTCTAATACAGATTTTAGAGTAAATCTGTCAACGTGGCTGCTAAGTCCCATGCTGGTGAGGTGCCACCACCATATTCCTGTCCTCCAACCAGTAACCCTAGAGAACTCCCTCCTTTCAAAGTGAAGATTAATCTTTATTTCTGTATCTTAGCTTTTTCATCTTAAGAGAAACAGTGACCAAAAACACAGCAGAGAGAAATAAAATGGGGGGAGGTGGAAGCAGAGAAGGAAAAGAAAGTGAGGGCAGAAAGGCAAGCAAATTGTCATAAGCCAAATCACTTAATGACATTTAAGAGGAAATCTGGCTTTAATTGGGTTAAACTGAGTAAGATGGGGTGAAATGTTAGGAGTGCCTGATACACTTGGTGCAGGCCTGTCTTCTGTACAAGCTGTGAGTAGCTTCAGCAGTCCCCTAACACCATCCTCTGCCCCAGGGGAGATACAAAGGGCATAGCCATATTAGAAAGAGAATTAGAAAATTTTTTTATATCGTGAGTGACTCAAACAAATGGACCCAATGACCATTTGATTAGCTAATGAGCATCACTCCAGAGAAAAAAAAATATTAAAAATATAACTGTTATGTCTTTGGTAGTGATATTACACAGCTTCAGAGACTAAATAAGAAATACAAATTGAATATTTTTAGTGATTTTAATAACTGAAATGAATTAACACCTATAACTGAAAATATTCCAGGTGAAAACCATAGTTCCCTACTATACCTTTCCATCATTTCCAATGTGTCTGTCACACACAGGTTTTCTTTTTTCAAGAAGGAAAGAGCCATTTGCAAAATGAGAAAAGAGTTGGGCTAATTTGAAAGGATGAACTGCTGAAAACTACATTCTCCTGACTAATCTCTGCCTTAAGGTCACAGCTTCAGAAAGTCCTGCAGTTCCTCCAGCTTCTATATGTTCGTGACACTCTTGAGGCACTAAACAAAGAGCTGAAGAACAGAAATGGCTATGAAAGAGTTGAAAAAAAATTAATTGAAAAGTTGAAAAAATTGGAAAAAAAAATCACCACTTAGGACCAAATTTACAAATTTACTAAGAACAGAATATTGAATATGTCCCTCTCTCAACAAAGACTTTTAGGATGAATGAGAATTAATGCTCTTCAGCAGGTGAGGAAAATATAGGGTAGGTTAATAAAGGTAACAGTTTGCAGATCATTTGCATTTTTCCCCCTAAATCACTTGGTTTCAGATCACATGACATTATATAGGATAAAGAGCCACAGATGAAAAACCTACTGACCGAAAAGCTCCAAACCCCAGCTGTTTGTGAAAATACAGCAACGAGCAGAACCCATCAACCTGATGCATTTGGGTTGAGCGGAGTGCAGCTTTGCGAAATGCAATACCCTGCTACGTACGAGGTTAACCAGGGTGACTTCGCGCTCCCTTTGGCCTTGAGTGCGATGAAACTGTTCGGACCGTGCTTTGCCTAAGCAGCTTAAACATGCCGTATGGTCTTAAGTAGATATTTAAGTGTTCTGCTGCATCAGGGGATGCCTGACCCTAAGCAAGGTACCCCACGTGCATGCGGCAAGCGGGGACATGACCTCCAGAAGAATGAAAGGAGGCTTAATTATATTGCTTTGTGAACGGCAGCTGGGAAAAGCCATATTTTACCCATTATTGTAATAAATACGAGGCAAGAGGTCATAGTTGGGAGAGCTATTTATACTGGTTTGGATCTAGAGCTGCTTGCTGTAACGGGCTTTTCCAGGATGGCCTTTTGCATAATTACAGTCATCACTGCTCTGGAAATATCCTCTGCCCACACAAATTACCCGAGTTTTCCACTTTGTTTAATTCATAGTATTTTAAATGATACAATCTAGGAAATCACTTATGCAGCACAGGGAAAGCAACGGGAACTCATTAACGAGGAAGAGAAGGCAAAGACCCCTTTGGTCCTGCACGGAAATTGCGTTAGGGTTTTTTAACAAGCCAGGCTGTAATTTTCAATATTAAAACGTGTTAATCACCAGAGCATCTTTTTGACCCCAAATTCCTTACTCAGCAGTGAAATTAGGAAAAATTCAGCTCATTCAACAAATCAAGGTTTATCTTTCTTGTGCTGAATATGTACCATAGGATGAAGCCAAACCCTTGAAAGATGGCAGTGAAAGCAAAGCATGGTAATGGTCACCTGCACCACAAACAGATATTTAGGCAATTAATTGAGACACAGTAATACCGTAATCCTCCTGGAACGCTGTAAGACATGACCTAAGCCTTAAAATGCAATTTAAAATAGCTAGGCTTGGTTTGCTTTCATGTGATTACAAAATGTGGCAGCGTTAAACATTCAATATTTTTTGGCAATGCAAATAAATCTTTGTATAGCAAAACATTATATGGGCAAGTAAGAAAAAGTTGCCGAAAGGAGTAACAACAGTTAGTCTAATATCCTTAAGTTTTTATTAAAGTATCTTAAGCAAGACTTAGGACTGGGCGAGATTTTGAAGTTCACTGGAGTCACTTCTTTATTGCCTATCTCAACACTGTTGAAGTATCATCCCAGACACAACTTCCCCAAGAATTTAATCAGAAAACCGCTCCTTTTTTTTCTCCACATAGCCTTCTCTCTTCATTTTTTCTATTCTCTCCTCATAACCAATTTTCTCCATGGATAAACTTCACCCCAACTGGGAAAAACAGTAAAGCAGCAAAACCTAAAATCTCCAATGAAAAAGCTCAGCTCAGCTTGTATAGAGTCAGTCATGCTAGGATAATACATTTTTATTTTATTTTTCTCCAATTTCCATTGCCAAAAGGGTTGATAGACCAACCTTTCTTGACACCTCATAGCCATCCCCATCACAAACCATAATCAGGCTTTCCAATAAGGACAAAACCCTAAAATCCAAAGTAAAAAATCTGAAAATACCTGAAACATTTAAAAAAATTTCCTTAAAAACACTGCATCATCTTGATATGTGTAACCAAAGAAGACAATAAGCAGAAAAAACAGCATTTAGCACTCAATATCTGCAAATACCATGTAGGTTTATAGCACTACCAGCTACAGCAGCAGCTGTGCCTTGAGTTTTAGTGGCTCTTATCCTTCAGGTCCTCTCTCTAACATTTGCTTTAGGCAATTCTATACTCCAAGCACCCATAACATTTACACATGGTAAATCGGAGTGCTCCAGGAAAATATTGTTATCAACATAAATAAATTATATGGAGGAAAAAATCACATATAAATAAAAGATGAACCTCAATCAACCTCAGAGTAAATATTCTTAACAGTTCCTGAGAATCTATGAACATTTTCAAAAACTTTTTCAGGTTCAAGAGGTACATGTTAAAAAAGAAAAGTTTAAGAAGTTGCACCAACTTTTCTATGATTCTCTCAGGGTTCCAATGACGATCAAAATGTTAGGAATGCGTTTTGAACCTTTTCCTCCTGTTTTATCTCCCTACAAAGTATCTGCAAGTAAAGTGTGTCTGTATGTGTTTATTCAAATTGATTTACAAAACAGATGCTCAAGGTTGTCCCACTTGTGTCTACACAATTTTTATCAGAAGATGTTTTACAGAAAAAGTCCTAGAGGACCAATCCATCAAATACAGCATATTGTAATTGTTAATTTTTCCCCAATCAGTCCAACTGTATTTCTGCAACAAACCTAATAACCCCTCCAGAGAGCTTGAAAATCCACTAAGATGAAGTATGACAGGGCCAAACTTGAAACACTTCACAGACACCAATGTCATGCATCTCCCACAATTAATTTCTTCCTAGAGGATGAATTACTGCAGTATTACAATAGGAAATACTTAAATAGCAGCAGTCTCCATTTTATTTTACATAGAGTCTTAGAAAGTCATAAACACAGAAAGCCTACAAATCATGAAGAAAAATTGTCCTTGGAATTAAAAATGAATAAAAGACATCTGACAACTAACAACCACTATAAAATATTAATATGTTTACCTAGATGATGACAGAATCATAGAATCATCGAATCGTTTAGGTTGGAAAAGACCTTTAAGATCATCCAGTCCAACCATTAACCTAACACTACCAAGTCCACCACTAAACCAATTAAGGGGAGAGTAATAATTAATTTCATCTTTCCTGGCTTGGTGGCTGGATTATTTTTTTAATGAAAGTAAAACTAGGAATCATTAAGGTTGGAAAGGACCTCTAAGATCATCAGTCCAACTGTCACCTCAACACCACCATGCCCACTAAACCATGTCCTGAAGTGCCACGTCTACCCATTTTTTGAAAACCTCCAGGGATGGTGACTCCCCCACCTCTCTGGACAGCCTGTTCCAATGCTTGGCCACTCTTTCAGTAAAGAAATATTTTCCTAATATCCAATCTAAACCTCTCCTGATGCAACTTAAGGCCATTTCCTCTCTTCCTATTGCTAACTGCGTGGGAGAAGAGACCAACATCCACCTCACTACAACCTCCTTCAGGTACTTGTAGAGAGCGATAAGGTCTCCCCTCAGCCTCCTCTTCTCCAGACTAAACAACCCCAGTTCCCTCAGCCGCTCCTCGTAAGACTTGTTCTCTAGATGATATGTTTGATCAGAAGAAAACTGTATTTTTCCAATGAGCTGTTTGGCTCCCCATGGATCCAAAGGCTTCTACAAATTCCTTGAAATGGTCAGACACACAGTTTTACAATTCCCATGAACAATATGTGGATTCTGCTGAACTTTTCAAGCCAATTTCCTAAGC